CCGCCCCGCCGAGGAACCACCGCGCCCCGAGGACGAGGAGGTGGACCCCCGCATCCAGGTGAGGGCCTGACTCCCGAGGGGCGGCTGCGATGTTCTCGGGGGGTTCGTTTCAATGTGTGCGTTGTGGCTCTGTGTAATAATGGGTGCCTTTTATTTCATTGCTTTTCAGGCGTATGTGCATGCATATATATATATATATATATATGTGTGTGTGTGTATATATGTATATATACATACATACACTTACGTGGACACAGGCATACATATAGACACACATTTATTTATTTATTTAATTCTATTTACGTAGTTAATTTTTTCCCCCCGGAGCAGCCCCGGCTGTCTGGGCGCCCGAAGCGCCCCCGGGGCTCCCCAGCCCTTTGTTAGCCCGGGCATCGCTCCGCGCCCGGCTCTGTTGGCTGTCCCTCCTTCTCCTCCTCCTCCTGCTGAAATTCACCCCCCCCTCCCCTTTTTAGTTTTGACCATGACACCGTGACCTTGCTTGTGGAGCGGGGCTGGTGCTCAGAAATTCATAAATGCGGGAAAGCGTAGGTTTAAAAAATTTATTTCGTTGTTTTTATCATTATTTTTTATTTGTTTTAAAAAGGAGCGTTAGTGGAATATGGTGCTTCCTCTCTGTGAATGCCTTCTGCAATGCTTTTTATTCTTGCGTGGTGTCTAAACAAAGCTTTTCTCCCCAAAATCGTGTCTCGACCAATAGCCTGGTGCAAACTTCAAGCGTGCTGTGGTCCCTGAAATGAAATGTATTTTTAGGTCTCTGCAGATTTATGGCTTTTGCCTCCAGCATTGCTGGGACTTTTTGTCATGAATGAATATAACATGTGTGTACATTGCTGAGAGGATCCTTGGCATAGATCCCTGCTCGCTGTAATTGTCATTCTTTTCTCCATCGCGAGCATTTAGTTTTCCAGGGCTGCACAGAGCAATTGCAAAATTCTCAAAACATGGTTACACAGAACAAGGCCCTCAGCCAAAAGCCATCCTGGTACTGCCCTGATTTTAAGAGGCTGAGCTTGGTTGGTGTCTATTGATCTAATTTTGGCCTTAGGTTCTTCAGCTTGCAACACGTTTCCACATACACAATTTGTGAATGGTCGGCAAAACAATTGTTTTTGTTAAGTTTTTTGTTTGGTTGGAAAAACAGGCTGCTGTGTCTGCTTCCATGAGAGCCGTCAGGTTCTGAGTAAGTGATAGTACGAGACAATTAGGTAATTTTTGGATGAGTGTTTCAGACAACATGGATACTCAAATAGGTATTTTCCAAATCCTAGGAGCAGGAAACGAAATCTGACCTCTGAGGATAAGAGAGCTAAACTGTTGTAATTAATTCCTTTCTGGTTGTAACCAGAGTCATTCTTGTAGTCTAGTGGGAAACTGCTCAAGTGACAATCAATTTACAACGTTCGGTTTGTACGGCAGAACATTTCAAGGCGTATTCTGTTACACACGTTGACAATTAAATAACATTTAAATTGGAGAACACTACTGTTAAAAATCTTACAATCTCTCATGAAGGAACATGTAGCTCAGATAAGGAAGGCTATCAGATATCCTCCTGAGGGTTGCTTTTTGTGGTAAGAAAGTCAATAAGAATGAGCTTTATTTTTACAATAACTTCATTCATGCCAGCACTACTCTACTACATATTTATTCAAGGGATTTAACACCTTTGTTTCTGCTGTTAAGGGATCAGAATGTTGGCAGGAAGGCAAATTACATAGACATAACTGTATGTCCCATTGACTGGTTGTGTTATAAAATGGTTTGCCAAAATCCAAAATAAAATGCCTCTCATGTGGCAAGATGTGTTTCTTATCGGTTCTGTCCTTCCACTGCATGTCTCCTGTGATAGGGCAAACTTTATGCTAATCTTTCGGGGTGGGTGTGTCTGTCTCCCCAGTACCTTGCTGATACTGGCTGTATTGATTAACGAGACAGAGCTTACTGAACCTTCTGTTTATTTGTAATAGTGAAGAAGTAGCCAGAATAGGAAATGTATTGCCTTAACATAAAACTATAGAGCTTCTCTGATTATTTTTTCTTTTCAGTAGCAAAGTAGAAGACCAGTGGCAAAGTTAGGCTGAACATCTCAAGGTTTCCTCTTTTCACTAAATTCATTAGCCAAAGCCCATGTGTGCTTTCAGTAGGGATGCTGAATGAACCTTCTCAGACATGTTTTTTCCCTGATTTCTTACTATGCATCTGACTTTCTTTCCTTCTAGGGGGAGCTAGAAAAACTGAATCAATCTACTGATGATATCAATCGCAGAGAGACGGAGCTGGAGGTACAGAATTTATCCTTGCATTTTCCTTTTGTGCACGTTGGATTTTGTGAACAAAAGGGACAGTGTTTTTAAGTAGGTTGCCTCCTGAATGGTAATTTTGCAGCAAAAGTCTGGTGATGATTTTTTTAAAGGTATGAATTGATCCAACAGCTGAAAAGAAAGGGAAAAGGTAGAGGTATGCTGACAGTGTAAAAACCCTGCGTGGTGAACCTCACACACAACCACTGCCAGAACTTATTTTTGGGTTTTGACACTAAGTGTAGACAAGTTTTATTTTTACAAGTCACTGTTTTGTGTTTGTTGATTATAGACAGGGAAAGTTTATTTGGTTAAGAGGTTTTTGCCATACAGCTGTCTGCCAGGATCTTCTCTTTGGTGTCTGTTTGGGGTTTTTTTAGCTTGCTATCTTTGCCTTTTTTTGTCATCACTTCCTGAGCAAGGAAGGTGGTGAAGGAAAGTTGGAATAGAAGACTTCCTGGTTATACAGCAAGGTTTTCTTGGATACTTAAAAATGTAGTAGCAAGTTCTGAATAAATTGGTTCTAAATCCCCAAATTTGAGCTTTATCTACTTGTTAATTATTCTGGAAGGCTCAACGTTATTGATCTAATAGTGAAGCAAACCAAACTGTCCTATTTGTGTGTCTGAATTTTCTTCTGTTTGCAAAACAAAGAAGATAAACCTGGTGGAAGTATAAGATGAATATGCTGCTGAAGAAAAACTGGCATAAAATATGACTTGACATCCTAAATAATTTTGATATCATTACATAGTTTTGAATACTGTATCAAAACATGTTGAGATTGCAGTGAGGAACATACTGTAAATGTACATCTGTAGGTTTCTGTCTGTACCTTCAAAATGTCAAAGTTTGGTTTGTTTGTCTGATTTTTACTTTTTAAAAATGTATTATTTTAAAATTTTTTCCTTGTGTGTATCTTTTCATGAGATGGGCACCTCAAGCATGGGGTGGTTCTTGGTAGAATTTTAGAATACTGAAATATCCACTGAGAGCACTGAACAGAAAATGGGGTTATGATCTTTGGAAACAAGCAGCCTTGTCCTGTAGCTTTTTTCTTCTCCCCACTTGTTTGCATTTTCTGTCATTTGTGGCACGTAGATCATGAATTTATTGGTAAATAAACTTAGTTAAATGGGGAACTATTTGCTGTACAAAATTACACAGTATTTCTGCTGTGAAAACTGTTCAGTGTCACTAGCATGATTAAAATTTTATGAGTGAACTTTAAAAATCAGTATTCTGGTCTGCCACAGTAGCAATTAAATGGACTTCAGGAATCTTTATACAGATATATTGAAAAAAAAAAAATCATTATATGTATCTTTTCAGTCTCCTTATTTCATGCTGAGGTACTGAAACTGAAAGATGGTGTTATGGATAGTTGCCTGGATTTCATTAATTTTGTCATAACCTTGCACCGAGGACATTTTATGAAGCAGATGGAATAGTAATAATAATGCAAAGGCATCCTCATGAAATAAATCCCAGTGACTTTAAGATGGGATTTTACCGCTTGATTAAAATTATTCATGTGATGAAGTATTTGTCAAGCCTGCAGATTTGTATCTACAGTGTGTGTAACACGTGCTGAGCTGTAGAGGCTGAAAGGCTCCTGGAAATATAATTGTAAATAAATGAGCAGAATTTCCACATTAGCTTGGACTTACCTTGTTGCTTACTCAGCCTAGTAAATACCAGGTAGGCTAGATAGACAGAAATCATATAATCATTCTCTGCACTTTGCCATTAAGTGTTTATTGCAGATCTGTCTGTAGTACTTACTGTAATCAGTTTTTGATGGAATTAAGGTGAAATACCACCAAGAGTATGCTTTCTTGAATGTTTCCTCTTCACTTTTCATCCAGAAATCTTACTGGATGGATGCCAGTTTGTGGTATCATGCAGCTGCATAATTTTTAATCCATAAAAATTTTCATTAGATTTGATCTGCTTAAATATTGAGGACAAATGCAGTTAGATGATGTAAGCAAGGCTTAATTTATATACAGGTCGATAAATGCATTTTAAATGGACTTAAAACCTTTCTGGGGGAAAGGAATAAAAAAATCCAACAACAGCCAACGCGTGTGGCTAGCAGAAAAATCTCTGCATTCATACTCTGGACAAGAAAGATAGATTTGCCAAGCAGCCTTATAGGATAAATCCAGAGTTTAGAAGGAGGAGTTTGGAGTTGGGATCATTCTGTTTCAAAGGCTTACAAAATCCATGAATAATGTTGAAAATGTGGGCTTCTGGGAGAGCCATGCTGAGTTTCCCTTTGAAAATTTGCACTTTGGTCTCTTACTAGCTGCTTTGGGTCCTTCTTGCTACCCCTTCCTAGTTTGTGGTGTTCTTGCTATATTTCGTTGGAAGAAAGATGTATGTGGGTATTTTTTAACCAGACAATGGAGTTATATTTATCCTGTTTTGCTAGCATCATTTTCTTCATCTTTTCAATATCTTTAATGGGAACATAGATGTATCATTCCATTATTTACAGCACAAACTGCTGACTGCCAGCTTCCTGTAGCATTACTTTGTGGTCCATACATTCCCAGTGTTGATTTTTTTTCCCCAGAATAATCTGGAAAAGTGATGGGAGTGTTTGAGTAGAAGGTATATTTCTTTGAAGGAAGTTCAGAAAAATACACCCATGTTTTTGTGACTTGATGTACTCTCTGATAAGCAGGAAGGGTAACCTTGTGGCATCTGAGTTCTGCAAGACTGTTCTGGACTTCCGGCATATAGTTTTATGTAGGTTGTTCTAAGTGGGACTGCTGGCTGTCTCCAGTTCCCATTAACTGGGAAAAAAAAAAGCTGTTAAATCCTTCTAAGCCCATGTTTCTATTCTTGCTGTGCCTCAGGTCTGCATCTGCAGAGTGGAAGCAATAATGCTGCGTTACCCAGTGGAAAATGTTGTGGGGCTGAATTCAGTAGAGGCTTTCAGGATTTTGTGGCTGTGCTGTCTTGGTGTAGCCACAGGAATGTCCATGTTTCAGCAATGTAGAAAATACCGGTGTCTACTGCTTACAGAGGTGATAAAATGGAGAATTCTGTTCTAAGTTGACCAGCCTGCCATTTCTTTAAGTTCTCCACTGAAACTGCCACGTGATCTGTTTTTAAGTTGAACAGCCTGGGTTTTTTAATCTTCTAAAATATGTTCTGCACCCACACTACCTGTGAGAGCACTGGATATACATGCATGGCATGACTTGAACAGATACATTGAAGGTGGCTACATCTATTCTTTTACTTGGAAGAATTACTCATTTTTTGCTCTTTTGATCTATCCTATTAAACCCTGAAGAAATATCCTGACCTGCTGATGCTCGCAGCCTGTTCAGGAGTTGCGGAGCTGCTGAAGGGCACTGAGTGGCTGGTAGTTATATGTTGTGTTAATGTATTGCCTGTTAATGAATCTTTGATTAGACTTGATTTAAAATCCATAATGCTGCTCCTACTAAGTGCAACACTGAGCATTACTGACACAGCAGAAGGATGATGAGGGTTCTCTGAGGGATTTAACACTTGGCTTCTCTAATGTCCCTGTTTATGTTTGAAGTGTCTGTGAAGAGCTGGGGGAAATGTCTTGTAGGGGAGATACAAGTGTGTTTTGGCCAGATGTAAGAAGTTTTTTCCTGTTTATTGGAAATGCATCTCCATCTGAACTCGCATCAGGAGCTGCAAATGTACTTAACAAATGTGCAGGATTTGCTTGTCCAGCCAGCTCTGGCTCTGAAAGTACAGCTCAGATGTAACAAATTAACCCAGGGACCCTCTGGCAGCATTGCGGGGAGGGGAAATGCAGCACATACCATTAAAGTTACCACTGGAATCCCAGCTATCCCAAATGTGGTTTTTGTTGGAGTTTTTTGTGTTGCTGGAGCTACAGGCTTGCCAATGTTTGTTGATGGGAGATACTGCACAGGAAAACTAGAGCTGAACAGTGCTGCTTTCAGCCATGCTCATTATTAGAGGGCCTGGTTGGGATCCTTCTTGTGTGCTTGCCTAGATCCTCCAGTCCTGATCTGCAAGACTTTGTTACTTTTAGTTCTGGATTTATCATAAAGGTCACCCTGGGCTGTTGTTGGATATAAGGAAAGGGCTTTATTAGCTGTGGTGCTCTTTCTCTTGTGAGCCTTGTCAGCATTTGAACCCTTCTTAGAAGGGGAAGGACTTTTTCTCATGGTTTAACCCCAGCTGGCTGCTAAACATGACAGCTCCTTGCTCCCTCCCTGCCAGTGGGACCGGAGGGAGAACCAGAAGAATAGAAGTGAGAAAACCTGTGGGTTGAGATAAAGGCAGTTAAGTAAAGCAAAAGCTGCACGCACAAGCAAAACAAGGAATTAATTCTCTGCTTCCTGCTGGCAGGCAGATATTCACCAGTTATTTAGAATGGCTTCTTACTTCTTCACTAAAATACTTGGTTTTAGGGAAAAAACTTGAGCTGTTGACCCTGTCACACATAAAACATGTAAGTAGATTAAAAAAAAAAAATCCTTCATCTTTCAGGCTTTAGAAACATGACCTCTCAGGGTTTGGAATCTCATTCTGAGCGTGCCTGCCTGGCTTGAGGAAACATCTCTCTGTGGAAACATCCGCCACCTTATCAGTATCCCTGTGCAGCATTTTCCAATGTCCACAAAAGAATGCAGAGATAAGGACAAAGCAGCTCACTGGCTGGTGTTGTTGCTGGCTTTTGGAGCAGGATATACATGCGTGATGGATTCATCCAACACTATCAGGACATATCTTTCCACATTTCTTTATGATCTACTTGCTTCCATAGGAAATAGCTCCTGTGTGTGAATTGCTTGTTATTTTGCCTTCTGCTTTCATCCAAGGATGAGTAAGGGAAGGCTTCTTCCTCTGCTGTGGCTCTGGAAAGATTTTGTCAACCAAATGAGTCAAAGGGCTTTACTTGATTCATGTTCTTGACATATTGAGGGGTTTCCAGCCTGGGAGAGGAAGGCTTAGGTGGAGAAATCTTGCTTTGGAATGAACGCCCAGTACCCTCCCATGGCTGCTTTCTTCTCTCTCCTTCTAAGAGAATTAAAAACATTTGTAGTAAAAAGTATTGGTAATCTCAATTTGTAACTGCAAACGGGAGGTTAGAGCAACTTTCAGGTACTGAGTTTTTAATAGTTCTTAGATGGCATATTAGGATCTGCCTAAAAAAACAAGCCAAAGACTTTTGTCTTAAAAATTGAGATACTACTTATCCCCTGCCTTGCACTTTGTTTTTAAGGTTTGATTGCCAGTCTGGCTTACTTGAACTGCTGAGGTACCAAAGAGATGTTAAAAGTGTTTTTAACTGGTTTGAGGCTTGGGGGTAGATTTCTGAGCTCACCTTGTGCATCTTTTTGGTGTGGATGTATGATACTGGTGCTGGTTTAACTTGGAGGTGAGCTTTTGCTGCTGGTAAGTCTTTGTAGCAGAGAAGGTGGGTATGGATACTGTCAGACTCTTGGAAATAGGTGAAGCCTGTCTCTCAGTCAGCAATTCCACTTCCTGTGCACCTCCCATGCTTGCCAGAGGTTCTGCACACCAGACTGACAGAACGGTCATGGGACAGCCTTTGTAAATGAAATTTAGATGTGCTCAGAATGAAGATGATTCAGACATGGTTGATATGTAATGCTCATTTAAAAAATAAAATAGTTTGAAAATACATGTTTCATTTGATGGGCAGAAATAGTTATTTGCTTGTCATCTGGCATCTAACACCAGCTCATCACCGTCATTCAGGAGTGAGGAAAACAGGCATGCTTTTTTCTCTGACAGGCGCAGTGTAGGTTGAAAATTGTATTTTAGTTTTTTCCCCACATTTGAGGATGGATTTTCAAAATGCTGCTGTAAGGATGACCTGTCCTTAAGTGTGGTCCCTCTTTCTGGTGCAGTGTCAAAAAGCTGCCCAACAGCATGGCATTACAAACAAAGTCTGCTTTTAATAATGGACTATTGCAGCAAAAACATAGATGGAGTGGAAGTCTGGCATGCTCCCTAAGATGGTGCTAGTGAAATCTCTTTGGAAAAAAAGTGCTAAGGATTTCCAGGAAGAAAGTTGATGAGCGTGGAGCTCTTGCAGCCACAGATCAAGATGTTGAAACATGAACTGCAGCTGTCCACGTGGTGCATTAAGTGCTCTGCCTGCTAGAGTGTGTGTATGACAAACATCTAGCTAGTGAGAGTCTACTTACTAAGGCTGTAATTTAGGTGAGAAGCTTCTCCTGCTACTTTTTGGTTTTTTAACCTTTCGAAACACATTGAGGATATAGTGCCTTAATTGGCTTTTGTCCAGCTTGGAAAAGGTTTATCATCATCACATTTAAGCAAAGAGGAGGGAAAAAATACTGAAAGCTGACTGGCTAACATTTTAAATGTTACCTTTCTATTTCTAAAGTCAGAAGCAAGGTGTTAAAAATGATCACAGAAGATTAGGAGTGAGTAGATGGGAAAACATGCTTTAAAAGTGTCAGGATGTTTGAGATGTCTCATGGCAGTTGCATTGCTTCTGTTAGAGTCTGTGTATGTATTCAGTGCAGTGGTGAGAAAAACACAATGTGTTTTTAAAAAACAAAAAACCCAAAACATAAAAACCCACCCAGAAATGATGAGTGTGACTCACATATTACCTAAGGCTGCATACTTGCTGTTATCAATGAATAGCATTTCTGCTGGAATGAATTATCTTTCAAGAAACTGAAATACAGAAACTAGAGATTGAGGACTATGCTAGAAAATTTCTGTGGCATATTTTGCACTGTCTTGGTTTTGCTCGTGACTAGTTGTAGGAATTGACATATTTTCCTTTCTCTGTTATCCCTGTGTGCTAGATAAAGGTCTAAATGAAGCAAGAGTTTGGTAGTTAAATAGTAATGCTAGTATGGAGGGGCAAGTCACACCAGTGGATTTGATAAGTAGCTTCAAAGTGTTGTGGTTGAGGACTTGCCCCTTGCTGATGTGAGTGTCCTTACAGAAAACACCATTAAGAGGATTTATAGTTTTGAACCACTTCACATGTGGGTCAGTGTCTCACTGACAGTAACATGGGAAGTCAGATATAAAGCAGTGAATTAAATCAGCTCCCAAGTTGCTGCCTTGACCACAGGCCCATTCATTTCCAGGAACAACAGATGTACTTCTCGTGTCCCATAAGGAGTAAGTGCACCAAGCCCAGTCCTACTGGTGCGATTATCTTGATGCTTCTGACCTCCCCATTTTCACATGAAGCATAGAAATAACTGCTGCACCTGTAGCTCTCACTCAGACTTCCCCAGGACTACCTGCCAGGGGAGTTTTGCGCTGTGCCAAGGGTGATGACTTCTGCAGATGCTCTGCATGGCCAGGTGTTTGCAGGAGGGAGCTGTGACCCTGCTCTCAGGAGGTGTTGCCGTGTCTCCCAGGTCAGGGGCACGGTCAGGAGAGCTGGGTCACTTTGGGTTGAGGGGGCTGGGTGGTGTGGAGGTGCTGCTTTGCCACAGGAACACACACTGTAAATAGACAGTGTGGGATTGTCTGCTTTGGTAGTGTAGCTGGGGCTGGTGGAGGGTAAAAGTGGCGTGTGGAGGGCTGCAGAGGGCATGGCTTTGGAATCTCACCTTAGAGACCTTGGCATCCTGCTCCTGGGATGGCTGGAAGCCTTTGGTGGGGGGACTGATCCCAGCAGAGAATTGAGCATCAGCTTGTTCTATCGTGCAGAAGGTGTTGGAGCCTGCAGGCTTGTGTTCCTGACAGTCAGGAGCCTGAGAATAAATGTCATTTAAAATAAGTTGATGACACAGATATTAAGTTCTGGTGTGTTTTGGTTTTCATTACTGTTCTTCACTGCAAGAATGAGGGTGGTCAGACCTAAATGAAGCCTTAAAAGGAGAACCAATCATCTTTGGAGGAAAAATGATAAACTGGAATTTCACATCAGTGTGTTTTTCAGCTGAAGCTTTCTATTCTGTGTAACTAACTACTGTGTGGAGTTGTGCTCATGGGCAAATGTGTATTTCACCATTTGTAAGACCTGTGCTTCAGGCACCAGTTGGAGGAGCACCTGGAGTTCAGTAATCTGCATCTTCTTCGTCAGAGTTAAAGGGAGATGAATAGGTACAGAAGTTGCTGTTAATTTGACTGCTTTGTTCTTAGTGTCTTTTGGTTTTTGGTTTTTTTTTTTGTTTTTTTAAACTCCAAGTGGGGACTAGTCAGTCATCTTTTTCCTATTGGATAGGACTGTATATAATTATTACATGAATAAATTTGGGGTAGGTCTCCAGGCACAGATTTATAGAGATGATTTCTTTGTTCCAAGTGCTTGTCTTAAAAACATGGGAACTGAACTTTCTGATTAATCACTGCACAAGGCTTTTTTTACCTAAACTATTTGCTTTGCATAACTAGTATCCTTATATGCAGATTTCACAAAGAGAGTGAAATCTTCCAGCTCATTAATTTAGAAATAAGCTTTTAATTCTGTTCCTACACCTGCAAAGAATTTTTCTCTTTGTTAAATATATTTCAGTACTTAATACTTTTCTTGCAATATAGTCATCATACTTGGAATATTTTTTTCAGTTACTACAAAGCTCATTTTGAGCAGTGAACCATGTATGGTCCAGTAATTTAATTGGAAGTATTCAAACTCTTCTCACTGAGACAATCATTGACTCAATTAATATTGTTTAAATGATACTTTTCAGGCTTTCACTAAGAAATGAGGTTATTGACTGGATTTGAGTTAATGAAATAATAAGTTGATGTCCATTTAATTCTCCATTTTTGACCTTGTTATCCATTTGAATAATTCCTTAGAATAAATTGGAGTACCTTAAGAATCCAAAGCTATTTGCCCTGGACTAAAATAATGCTGATGCTGGTTCAGGTTTTACATAACACTAAAAAGGGAGCAAAGCTTTTGCAGAAATAAGTTGCTTTTTCTATAAAAACTGATATATTGTTGCATTTTTTCCAGTTCTGAGAGCACATTAGCAGCTTGGAATGTATTTTAAATCTTCCAGTGAATAAGCAGTTTTGCATTCTAGAAATCCTTAACAATAATGACAAAACCCTCCTGAATTAGGGCACTTCTTCAAGCCAGCTGCTTCCTGATTATCAACATGTCACTCCAGCAGTCTGCATAAATGCAGCACTCTAATTAGAGTTACAAGCCTTGTTGAGAGCTCACATGGCCCTTCCTCTTCATCTCCTTAAATCCTGGGCCAGGTCCCAGTCTGAATTTGCATCAATCTGCAATAATTTCATATATTTCAAGTCTGTGGTGGATTCTGAGATTGGAATCAGAATCACTTCGCTTACATGTGTGGAAATTTCACTGGAGCAGAGAAAATATTTTAATTGCTTTAGCTAATCATGTAAGGAAGGAGCGCAGCTCATCCCATTTGGAAGTTGCTGGATTTTTTAAATATAGAAAATATTACCAGTGAAGTGGAATGTAGCTGCCCTTCTCCATTGATAGAAACCATAGCTAAAAAGATGGGCTTTCTGTGCCAATTCCAGCTGATTTGCCAGCCTGCTGTGGGGATTTGGCCTGCCTGCTAGCACCATTCTAGCATTATCTATATGAGATGTCTTTGCCATTGAAGTCCCTCTCAGAACTTGTTACACTGCTGTTTGACTTCTCACTGAGTGAGTAATTTACAAACAATTCCTCTCTGAGAAACCCTGCCAGAGGTAACATCTAGAACAGGCTGTTGTAGGCTTTATATAAAAGCTGTCACTGAAAGAAAAGACTTGGTGTCCAGGATGTTGGCTTTAGGATTTGGCTCTGGGTTCCAGGGTTCCTCTGCTGAAAAATTCTTCGTCCAAATGCCAGTAACTCTTTTGGATGTGTCAGCTCCTATATGAATCTAAAGAGGAACCTGAAGGTAGGAACAAAAAGGTGGAAATAATTTTTAAAGCTCTAATCTGCCTTTGCCCTTTCTTTCTTCCCTGCAATGTTTTGAAGGATGCACGCCAGAAGTTCCGCTCTGTGCTGGTTGAGGCAACAGTAAAACTGGATGAACTGGTAAAGAAGATTGGAAAAGCTGTAGAAGACTCTAAACCATACTGGGAAGCTCGGAGGGTGGCCAGGCAGGTAAGAACTTTCTGCCTTATAAGCTTGTGGTGCTAGTTGGAGGGCACACACCGATGGTGTTGCTTTCCTGCTATTAATAACATCCTAAGCATATGAACTTGGCTGACACTGGTCTGTGTCTTCAGTTGCATGTCAGCCATGGGAATTGATGGCAAAATGGATTTCTTCACAGCCACAGCTGCACATGCTCTTCAAACCCAGAAGAGCTACAGCAGACACAATAACAAAAGACTGCTTCTATTCTCTCATTATAAATGGCCTTTCAGAGCCCTGCTCTTTCGTATCAGTGGTTGTACTTATTTGAAAATACAGTGTAGACATTGTGTATCTGGATTTTCTTCTTAAAGCAAAATGCTCAGCAGCTAAATGGCTGCAGCTGGAAGCTGCAAGGAAGAAGGCTGGATTGGGGCAGGTTTGGGGAAACACGCATGGTTTGGTGCTGATTGGGTTGTGATGAAGTAGGAATGTGCTAAATGTGGCTCTAAAGTGTTTTTGGTTTGGGGACAAACTCTTTCTCTGTCATCAGGGCCTTACTTTGCATGCCCCAGCTACTACTTCATTATTGATAGGCCTGTTTAGCTCAGGGGAGGATGAGGTGTGGAAGGAAGAGTGTGACCTGGTGGATGAAGAGAAAGCCAGAAAGCTTATGACATGTCAGGCAGCATCTCATTTTAGAGAAAAAGCTGTTGAGAGTTAGGTGTGTGGTGGCTTAGGCAGTGCCTCTGGTAGGTGTGTGTGGTGGGGCTTGCTGGTCTGTGAGGCTTTTTGTTTTTTCCCCGAAGGAAGTGTGTTCCTGGTTGCTATTTCTGTTTTCTCTTGAGGCAGGAAGAATCAGGAAGATCTGCCTAGAGCTGCTACTTCTGTGTTTGGCTTGAAGGATGTGTGGGATGGCATCTGTGGCTGGGTAGCTGGGATGTGATTGTGTTCAATGGGAGAGTGAGAGAAGGGGTGGCGTGTGTGAAATACATGAAAACTGCATGAACAGAAGGATTTTGTTCGTAAAAGTAGGTAGAGGGATGAGAAAAGTAGAGTAGGTTTGTGCCAGAAGGCAGAGAGTAAAGTCTCACAGTAAGAGAAGAGGAGGGAAGAGAATGCATCCTCAGAACAGCACACAGGAAAGGGAGGAATGAACAAGCTTTATTCCCGTGAAAGCTGATGAAGCAGGAACTAGAATTGATGGGGTGTGTCATACAGGATAATATGTGACTATTGTGATGCTTTAAATTGTATAACATTGTTTTGGAGGCATTGTCTCAGGTGATGGGGATGAGGTATAGGGGCTGTTAGGCTTAGTCCTGCAGACTAGAAGTGGCAAATAGGTAAACTCTACCCTGCTTGCTGTGCTTTGAAGTGTCTACCTCTCATCTGTAATTGCTCTGAAACCCTGCTCACGAGGACTATGGTGTGTGCTAGAGGTAAACCAGTGGTGAGCTACAGAAGTTAGGGATTGTGTAAACTAGTATGTGCAATTTGGAAAAACAATCCCTGTGACCCTGCCTTGAGCATGATATTATACTTCTATTGCTATAAATAGCTGTGGTAAGGCACAGCATGCATAGAACTTCAAGAGTTATACTTGGAAAAGTTAGTGGTAGAAGCACACACTTTGCAGTACAAAAAAACCAAAACCATCAAAAGATCAATGGACTTTGAAGTTTGTAACATCACAAACTCAGAGCAGTGAACTTTGCTCTCTGTCCTGAAGCTGGCAGCAGATTATGTTCTGGAAATGGAATTTTGTATTGTTATGTCTCTGCTACCCCTGAAATCCCATTCAGTCATTCTGGTTCAAAGATACTTTGCAAGGCCACTAAGAAACTGAAGTTCCTGAAGGTCCTTAAATTAGTAGAATCACTGTACCAGTAGTAGGCTTGTTAGAGGGAACCGTATTTTTCTCCCAGTCCATTCTGTCACTAGCTAGGTTTAATGCTGTTTTTCCCAGATCTGTTCATTTGCTACACATTCAATTGTCTTTTAATTCCTTGATGGCATTTCATTTTAAAGCAGGGGTTGCCCTTCTAACCACTCATTTCACCTTTTTTTCATTTTTTTTAATGAATCTGGTCACGGAACAGAGTTTCCACTTTGTATCTGCTCAGCAGGCAGAGATAGAAGATGGTCTCTGGTTTCCCTTTCATCCTTTGTAATAACATCTTAAAATGGAAATCGTGAGGGCCAAGAGGAGTGCAAGCACTGAACGATGGTGAATCTATCTGGAAGCTGGGAGATTGGAAAGATTGATGCCAATCATCACTAAAGTACTGCCTGAAGAGTTTTTCTAGTTTTAATTTAATCTAGAAAAGTTCCACTTAACTGGGTGTAAATCCACTATGATAAAGCATGGAGAAGGGGTGAATAGGTAAGGAAATATGAAACTGGAGGAATGTACCAGAGTATTAACATGGATAGGTGCCAGTCTGCATCTCTCTTTCTACTTCGATTTGCAGAACTGTAGAGAAATAATGGGAAGAGCTTGTTATTTTTTATTTTTTTTTAAAAGTTAATAACAACATCTAGCCTATGAGGATTTGTCTTCCTCCTCCTGTCTTTATAGTTATTTTAGAGCCATTAGGCTGCCTCCAAAAATATAGGCACAAGGTTCTTGGGGGCTGAAACAGCTTTAATTAAACAATAAGTGGAAAATGAGTGACTCTACTGGTAAGAGAAAGGGAAGTGTAAATTCCTGTTTGTTGCTCTCAATAAGGGGAAGTAAAAATATGACCTATATATTTTAAGCCTTTTGGAAATACAGAATTGCATAATTAATGACTCTTAGTTTGGCAGAAATGCAAATGAGTAACTCTGGAGTTGTCCAGAGTTACTTGAGTTTAAGATGTCAGCGGCAGGGTAAGTTACTTGATGCAAACTGCATTAAGTCACATTGAGGAGCTTGCTTTCACTTGGCAGCAGCAGGAGTCTCTTTTGGAAAGACATGTTTCATCTATTAAGATAAAAACCCATTAAGGAGGTATGAGGGTGGTGATGTGGGGTCATCAAAAATCAGGTGACCAACTGAGGTATAACACTGGAGAAGTTTTAGGATCTTGAGTCCTTTTGTCTACTCACCCTTATCCCCATCTTGTGCAATCCTGTGTTGGCAGAAGATGGGGAATTGAAAACAAATTAACTGTCCTATGCAAAAGTCCTGTGGGATCTTGTTTGTGGAGTGTTTGCCAAGAAAGCCATGGCTTAGCCTATCTCTGGGTGAAACTTTGCTTTACCAGAACACTGGTCCCCTAGTGTTACAATCTGAGTACTTTGCCCTCTGAAATCGTGGCACAGGAAGTCAGGGTGCTGTCTGTGGGTACCAAAGCAGTAATATTTGGCTTTTGCTGAGAGTCAAGTGAGATCTAGCTAATGTTCTTGCTCAAGGAGATAACATGTGACTTCTGCCAAGACAGGGCTGTTGTGACTCCTCATTTGGTACAGCAGTGGGCCTTTTGTGTTGATTGAAGACACACCTTACTGTTTTGGAGCATCCCAATTTGTTGTTTAATCAGATTTTGAAGTACTTGTGCTGTGAGAAGGTACTTTGTTTGGTATATTGTCTTTTCATGTTGTTCTTTAACATACGCAGTAATGCAAATGTTTAGTGTAAGAACCTTGGCACATAGAGGATTGTGCATGTACACAAGCAGTGCCCACATTGCAGCAATATGAAATTCCTGTAATCCAGAAGGTGGCACAGGTTCTAAACGTTCAGAAAATCAAACTTCCCATGTCTGTTTGGTTTGGGTGATGGTTTCTTGTTTTTTCTTTTATTTTTTCCTATTAGCTTCTTCCTTAGTTGACTAGTCAAAGAATTAGACTTTTCTTGCCGAAAGCTAATGGGGAAGAAAGGTGAAGTTCCCAGGAAACATTAATAATGTAAACAGAAGTCCTGAGCCTCTGAGGTAAGGAGTGTCTTAAGCCACTGTTGACTTAACATTTTGCAGGGCTGGGGCTGGAAAGTGCCTACGCAATCGTGTTCATGGTAGTGTCTGAGCAAGTGACAGAGCTGGGAAGTGTGTTACCTCCCTGGTGACAGGATGCTGTGCAGAAGCAAGTGTGGTCTAATGCATAAATCACTGGGCTGGCAGGAGCTGATTTTGTGCTGCTGCATGGCACAGATCAATGGCTTCATCTCTCTCTTGGTTCCCATGTAAAATGAAGCTGTCAAGCTGCTGTGAAGCTGAGTTCATTAAGGGAAGTAAAAGCACTTTAGGGTCACTGGGTGAGAGGTGCCATTAAAACACTGCTATCCATATATCATCACTTGTGAACCCATACACAAACTGAACAGGAGATGTGCCTTTCTGCTTTGCTTCTGCTGGAAAAAGAATCTGATAAAAGTGTGTTACCACCCCCACAAATGAAACAAGCCATGCATTTTTAGTGACCCTAACCTGCTAAAAGCCCTGAGAGTATTGCTTTTTATTGAGTTTCAGCATTTTTTTGGTTAATTTTTATTTGGTGATGGGCTGGTTTGGTTTGGTTTTGTGGCAGGGTGAGGGGTTACATTTTATTGGCTTAGATTGGGAGTAGGTGAGGACAGTACTCAGCTTTGGTACTGCTCCTATTTGGGAGAGACATGGTTTTACTTTGTGATATTCCCTTCACCCCTCTGCCCCCCCTGCCTCATTTACCTTTTACAAAAAAGTGTCACAAAACTTGCTTCAGGCAAAAATAGGTGAAAGACCTGTGCTAGGTCATACCTGTCTGTACCACTCACTAAAGGACCCACCTGAACCATGTGTTCATATTGCAGTGTGTTGGGGGATATGCATGTTCTGCTTCCTCTCGGGTCAGTCTTCCTGGGTTTTAAAGCTAATTCTTTTTTCGTGTTCTTGGCATACTTAAGCAGCACTCTTTTATCTGAAAAGGCTTGGGAAAACCCGCTGGAATGAGTATTTACAGCAATTCTTCTCCTTTGATGTCCAGGCATACCCAAGAGGAAGTGCAGTTGATAGACAAGTAGGGACAGCTGTCCCATCCTGTTCACTGCAACTTTTTATGTTGTA